GAATGGATAAAAAAGCTGTGGTACATATACACAATGGAGTATTATGCAGCGGTAAGAAAGAAAGATCTCTTATCCTTTGAGACGACATGGAGGGATCTGGAAAGTATTATCCTAAGTGAAAGAAGTCAAGCAGAAAAGACAAATACCACATGATCTCACTTATATACGGAATATAACAAACATAACAGTCTGAGGAATACAGTAGACCCAGACACATGGAAGTAGGGCACAGACTGACATCCCTCAGAAGAGGGGATGGGGGGTGCGGGGGTGGGAAGAGATAAACCACAGAACTTATATGCATGTATGCATGACCAATGGACATGGACAACTAAGCCGGGGACGGGGCGGAGGTGGGGTGGGGTGGGGGGTGCCAATGGGGTAAAAAGTTAAAATATCTGTAACAAAAAAATAAATAAAAATTCATAAATTAAAAAAATAAATAAATAAATTTAAAAAAAAAAAAAATCTCAAAGGACATTTCTTATCAACAGTGAGTGGCTCAGAGTGTCATACATCACACACCAACAATGATTTGTTGTGTGTTCCTGTCTTTTACACCAATTATCAAGTTAGCATCAAATAGGACATTAAGAGGTGTCCTCTTTTAAAGCTTAGCTAGATTTTAAAACTAAAGTGAGCAGTAATTCTTTTTGTTTTTCTATAGAAAACATTTAGAGACGTTTATACACAGTGAACAGTGAGTTAAATAGTATTTGCACAGGCTTTCTTCTACCACCCAAAACCGTTTTTGGTGTGTACTCTTTTGGGGACAATTAGAATTGTTTTCTTTGTTTCCCATTTGGGGGACCAATAATTGGAACTAATTGTTATTCTTTCCCTTCACTTTTTCCATCCAATCATTAAGTCCAAGTGATTCTACTTTCCAAATATTTTCCACCTCCGTTCACTGCTCTCTGTACCACTATTACTGTCACAGTGTAAGTCACAACTTGCCAGAACTTATTTTAAGTCTCTGAGGTGATTCTTCACCTAACCAAACAATCTTTTACTTTAGAGGAAGATGTAATAAGAATGACAAACTAATAATACTGATAATGAGCACCACTCATGGAGTGCATATTGCATACCTGTAATTCTTAGAACAACCCTACAAGGTGGTAATAATAACAGTGCTCCCCATTTAACAGGGAGAAAACGGAGCCCTAGAGAGGTTAAGCAGCTTGTCTAAAGCCACTTGACTAGTGGCAGATCCCAGATATGAACCTCTGTCTCCAAAGCTTGTGCTCTTAACCACTATGCATGCTCTCTGCCATCTTTGCCCAGTTTTCCCTTAAACTGTAAGGCTCCCCTGCAGTATTAAACAATGTTGCATTACCCAGCACAATGCTGGGCACATAAGCATTCAAGAAGTTTTGTGTTTTGTTTTTTTAATGGAACCTCTATGTAGAGGGCAGGAAGCTGAAATGTTTTATTACTTTTTCCCACATCATTATGAAATGAAAATTTTCAAGTAAACCAGTTTTCTATTTAACTGATATTAAACCATTTAGAGATTTTTTAAAAATATTGGTAGAATCTTTCTGAAATGCATCCCATTCTTTATTGCCTTATTAGTACAACAATTCTAATTTAATATTATCCTAATGACAAAGAATGTTATGAGCAACAAATTTTATATATATTACTTCTTTAGTATTTCCTTCTGGGCTATGGTTTTAATTACCATCTGTATGCCAATGAAGCCCAAATCTTTGTCTCCAATGGGAATTTCTCTCCTGACCTTCAAATCCATGTATACTACCACGTGATAGAGTCATACTACCATGTGACTCTGCAAACTGAAAAAGGCCCCCAAATACACCCAGATCCCTAAATCTGCTCCTCCAGAATTCTGTGTTTTAGTGAGTCTACTTTTACTGTCTCTCCCATCTACACCAGCCATAAACATAGACATAATATTTGACTCCTCCTTTTCCTTCACCAACCCATTCCCCAATCAATCCATTAACAAAAGCCCTATTGATTTTACTTTTTAAATATCTCTCAAATCCATCACACTTCTGTAGCTGTCATTTGCCTTATCCTGCCATTGTTATCTCTGCCTGGACTATTATAACAATTTCTAAATGGTGTCCCTTCCAGTAATTTCACCACAATCTAATTTATTCTCCATACTACAGTCAGAGTGCATTTTTAAAATTAGAAATTATCACTGGCTGGTTTGGCTCAGCGGTAAGAGTGTCAGTGTGAGGACCAAAGAGTTGCGGGTTTGATTCCATTCAAGGGCATGTACCTCACTTGTGGTTCAGTCCTCGGCCCTAGTCAGGGTCATATGGAAGACATGATGTTTCTCTTTCTCTCTCTCCCTCTCCCTCTCTCTCCCCCCCCCCTTCCCACTCTATCTGAAAATCAATGGAAAAATATCCTCAGTTGAGAATTTATTAAAAAAAAACAACAACAAAAAACTAGAAATTAGATCATCTCACATCTTAGTTTGGAAACTTTCAATAGTTCCTCATTGTTCAGATTTCTTCAATATTGCTTACAAAGTCTTCGATAATCTATTTCTTGCTTTTCCATATCTTGCCATCTCTGTTTTTACCTATCCCTCTTACCAAGCACCAGGTCGCTAGGTCATATTGAACATTTCCCCCTCTACACATTGTGTATACTCTTGCTTCTAGAACTTTGCATGTACTAAGGAACCGCCTGATCCCTACATCTAAGATAAGCATCTGTCATACTATCACAGCACTCATTTCTACTTATAAAATTGTGTTTAGGTACCTATTTGTTTCTCTGTATCATATTCTCTACAATCTTCTCTCAAGACTTTTGGGTCTGCAGGATGGAACCCATGCCTCTCTTATTCACCCTGTATCCCTAATGCCTAATTTTGTGTCTAGAATTTAGTAGGCATCACCATATTGGAATACATCTTAAATTTTGTAATAGTTTTAGATTTACAGAAAAGCTATATAGTACAGAGTGTTCCTTCATTGGCATCCAATTTCTTATGTAAATATGATACATTTGTCACAACTAATGGACCAATATTGATACCCAATTAACTAAAATCCATGCTTATTCAGATTTCCTTAGTTTTTTTTTTGTTTTGTTTTGTTTTTTTTTTTACCTAATGTTCTTTTTCTGTTCCATGATCCAACCCCATCCAGGATACTATATTACATTTAGTCATCATGTCTCCTTAAGCACCTCTTGGCTGTGATTGTTTTTGAAACTTTTACTGTTTTTGTTGATCTTGAAAATTTTGAGGAGCTCTGGTTAGGTGTTTTGTGGAATATCCCTCAATAGGAGTTTGTCTGATGTTTTTATCATGAGAATGGGGTAATATGTTTGGAGTAGGAAGACCATGGATATAAAGTGTTATTTTCATCACAACATATCTAGAATATATTCTATCACCATGACTTATCACTGTAATGTTAACCTTGATCACCTGAGATAGCATTAGTCAGGTTTCTCTACTGTAAAGTTGTTCATTCCCCTCCTTCCATACTGTTCTCAGAAAGTCATTATGTCCAGACTCCATTTAAGGGATTAGGAATTATGTTCTACCTCTTTGAGGGCAGAGTATCTACATAAATTTTTTAGAAGTCTTTTGTATAGAAGATTTATATATTATTTTCCACATTTATTTATTCTGTCATTTACTTATATCAGTATAGAATCAAGATACTTATTTTATACTTTATATTACAATCCAATACTACATCTATTTTGTCATCTAATTTGTCCCAGTTTTGGCCATTAGGAGCTCTTTCAGCTGACTCCTATGTTTATTGGACATATCCTTCACTGTTGTCTTTTGAGCACATTCTTACTTTCTGGCACAACAATATGCTTCAGCCTCACCTTGTATGTTCCCTGCCCTGTCCCTACAATCAGCCACTGAGCTTTGGGTGAACACTAATGCTTTTTAGTTAAAATTTGGATTCATTTTTAAAAGCCACAAAAGAATAATATATAGTCCCACCACCAAAAATGAACAAATGTTTTTCCCTTTATTTTGCTTAAGATATATTTTAAGAAATAAAACGCTTATCAAGTTGAAGTTCAGTTTTACCTTCCCCAGTCCTAAACCTCTCTCTGTCCCCCAAGAAGCAACCACAATCTTAAATTGATGTGTACACTTATTTTTTCAAGCATGCAAGGAACATTTACAGAAGCATGTATGTGTTAAAGAGAAGACCGGCTGTTGGGTTGAGTTGCCCACTTTCTGGGCTGTTCCAGTTGGTGATCTGTGAACACATTCACTTCCTCATGTTGCCATTAGAGCTGCATTCTGTTTATCACTCCTCTCCTGCAGTACCATTCCTCCACTATTGTTTCCAGCCTCTCTCTTCTCTAGGCTATTTCTTCCCAGCTTCATAGGCAGCTTCTAGTGTCCTCCTTATCAGAAGGAAGAAGACCAATAACCTGGTATTATAGACTTTGAAAGAAAATTGTAAACTAAAATGTGCTAGACAAATATAAAACATCACTGTTCTATTCACAGTGCAAAAACAAAACATTAAATGGGGCAAGGGGCATATTGTTCAATTGTTTGATATAGTTAGCTCGTTAACGGCTATGTTTTAGCTTAAAGGCATTACCAGCTGCTTCTGGTTATTTTGGAGTTGTGGTTCTGAAAGATTGAGGCTGCCAGATTGGATATCTGGACATTTAATTTTATATCAGGGTAATTTTATGGTTCTTCATTTTTAAAAAATAGATACTGTTCTACCAAGTGTAGGAATACCCAAAATATAGAAAAAGCTTACTATTGAAATGATTGCTCATGAAACTAATAATTTCTCCAGCAAGTGACTTAAAATGAAAGGCAGATTGTTAACTATAAAGTGAAAGGCTTTAACTATTATCTACATCCATAGAATTGAGTAGCTTTGTGGGCAGTTTGGTTGATAATGTTCTGGGTGCCACATAACACTGTCTGCTTACTAAAGTAAGCAGAACTTTGGGGGTTGGGATTTCCAGTCCCCTTAATAGTAAATATATCTACTTTCTTCCCACAGCTTATACTTATTTTGACAAAGGCAAGCTTGAAAGCAGTTACTTGAGGACAGTTTGGATAACATCTAGGTAATCAAAACAGGCACAATGAAGCACTTCCTGAGGTAAGCGTTTCTAGTTCCCTGGGTGAGCCCTCTTAAACGAGAAACTTCCCTACCAATTAGGATAATCTTTCTTTTCACCTTTGTGACCAGGTGACCAGGTCTCATATTGTATTTCAGCTAAGAATAATTTGGTCATGAGGTTCCTATGTGCACATTGATGCTAAAAGAGAACATTTGCAAGTGATAGATTACAAGCAATTACAAGAGAGCATGAACGCAAAAGTACGAGGCAGGAAGTCCTTTGGACAACCCTGACATGTGTTTCTCTAAGGAATGATATACTGCTGGCTTTAAAGTTGAGATCTGAGGATTGGTAGTCAAAGAATCAACATAATTTGTGCAGAATCGTTTTCCTGAAATAAGTAATTTAAAATATTTCTTAATTAGATTTTGGTTGGCTAGCCAATTCACACAGGTATTTTCAAATGTTCCTGTTTGGTAAAAATATATATTCCAAGCTTCTGCTCTTCTTGCCTCAGTAATGTTCCTGAAATCTGCATTGGTTATTGATTCCCTGAAGACTTTGGTAGAGAGTACCACGTGTATTGGTATGTTTTGGGGTGATCTTGTTTTGTTTTGAAAGCCATTAGCCTTGACCTATAATTATAATTATTTTCAAGAGTATTGACTGCCATTCACAATATATTAATGAAATTCTCTAAGAAAGTTTACATCATATTACAACATAACAAGAATAAAATTAGTCTGGCCCTGAAAATTAGAAAATAAAACACTTTTCAGAATGTTGAGTTTCTTTCTCTCAAGATGGTGGCCTACCTCTACTATACATTCATGTCCCTGGCTCTGGCTTATTTCCTCTGCAAATAATTAATGGGTTTGCTTCTTTTAGGAAATCACTTAATTCTTTCAGTGGCTGCCATTTAAGATCTCCCCCACTACCTCCCCTACTGGTTTTGTTTGCACCATTATTTCTGGAGCACCTAGGTCAATTTGTGTGGGATTCACAATGTTTTGGTGCAGCTACTGATGTTTACTGGATCTTACAATTGTGAAAACCTCCCCGAGGTCACTGTTAAGCTATTTACAGGTATTAGCATTTATAGGTATACTCCTCAACCTGTTTATCTCAGCTGAGTAAAGGGATAGTATTTGAAAAATCACTAGAACTTGGGGGGAAAGATGGCAGTGGGCAGGACCAGAGGGAGGGTGAGTGTGTGAGAGAAGGAGCCAATGCATGAGAGAGTGTGAGTGGATGTGAAGGTGGACAACAAAAGCCTTGCAGTGCAGAGACGCTGAGCAGAAGGTTCCTGTGCTGTGGACAGGAGCAGCCGGCTACTGCGGTAAGCGGCCCTTCAAGGTGCTTCTCCTTGCGCCCCAAGGAAGTCCCACCATTTTGGAAGAATCCAGGTCTTCCCTGGGAGGAGGCAGTGGGAGTGGCTGGGGCCCAGCAACCTGAGCCACCAGCGCACCTGGCACCATTGGACCAGTGGACACTCTGTGTCAACACAGACCAGGGCACAGTAGTAGAGCTGCCAAGGTGCTAATCGCAGAAGCCGCAGACAGTCGGGAGCACAGCACCATTCCCCACAGTAGCAGCTTGATCAGAGTCAAGATATACCCCCAGCAGCAGAGGCTGGGGAGCAGACATCCATCCCCAGGCAACAGAATCACAGAAAAGCAGCTGAGACCCATCCCCAAAAACTACAGCAAAAGCTGAGGAAGAGTTGAACCCCATGGAACAGCAGCACTCCCCAGCCACCAGCAGCGGGACCTGGGGCTCCACAGAGGCCTGTGTGGTCCAGTAGCTCACAAGAGCAGTGGAAAGCCAGAGCCCAAGAGAGACTGGTGTGATCCAGCTGCCCGCCCCTGGGAACTGCAGGGTGTGGGGGCACCAGAGAGGCCTGTGCGAACCCAGAGAGACCCTGCGATCTAGTTACCCCCAGGACCTGCGGGGTGCTGAACACCAGATAGGCCTATGCGACCCAGCCAGGACTGTGTGATCTAGTTATCCATGGGACTGTGGGGTGCTAAAGCACCAGAGAGGCCCGCACAACCCAGCAGGGACTGTGAAATCCAGTTACTTGCGGGACCTCGGGAGTGCTGAAGCACTGGTGCGACCCAGCAGCCCATAACATAGGCTTAGAGCAAGGTTCCCAAAGTGACTGTGCGATCCAGTTACCCTAAGGACCTATAGGGTGCTGGGGTACCAGAAGGCCTGTGCGACCCAGCTGCATACAAGATAGGCATAGAGAATGTGAAAAACGGAGGGGAAATGAATAGAAGCTACGCAGACAATCGCCCAGGACCAAACGGGAATTACAACTAAAATAAAGACAAATCCTCAAAAAAAAAAAAAAAAAGCAACAGAAAAGCAGCAGGACAGAACCATATAATCGGGAACACTGGTAGGATATGCAGAGGCATGAGAGGGAGCTTGGCTGGGAGCCCACAGATAGCAGCATTCTTAGCTGTGAGGAGCACCTTTGGGGAATAAAGACCAAGACCGCTCCACACTGTAGAAAGCCAGGACAGAGAGCTAAAATAGCCACAGCCACTCATCTGGGGGCTACAGCAGAAGGAGGGCAGACTGGACTAGAACTCTGTGGGGAAACCCAGGATTTGGAGGGCACTCAGAGTTTTTGCTGAGTTGCAGCCACAAAGGACAGTGGCCAGTGTGCTCCTTCCCAGAGCTGTGAGAAAAAGCAGCAGCCCCACCCCCCAACCCTTGGAGATTCAACTTTTCCCAAGTGAGGCAAAAAAATGCAAATTGAGACTCATTAATAATCAGTATCTATCCCACCTTCTGGAAATCCTCTTATGCAGAACACCAGGGCTACATTCCAAGGCACTGAGTAACTGAGACCACTAGCGTCCAGGAAAAAGCTAGAGGATGACTGAACCATTCCCAGGCTTGCAAATTTACCCAGGAAAGTAAGACTTAAAAGTGTTGTTTAACCTGGGCCCACCCAGGCTTATCCAAACCCAGTAGAGGGAGCCACAAAGAGCAGAACACCAACACCCAGTGGAAAAATTTGGCAGGCTCCAAAACCCACTGAGATAGCCAAAATGGTAAAACAAAGAAACAAATCCCAAATGAAAGAACAAGAGAACTCTATCGAAGATGAGATCAATGAAATGCAGCTAAGGAGATCAATGAAATGCAGCTAAGAAAATTATCAGAGGTAGAGTTCAGAGCCATGATCTTGAGGAAGCTCAACAGGATGAGTAAGGACATCAGCACCATGAGTAAAGATATAGAAACATTGAAAACCACCCAAGTGGAAATGAAGAATGACATAGCAGAAATTCAGAACACATTGAAAGGACTAACCAGCACAGTAGAGGTAGCTGAGGACTGGATCAGTGAATTAAAAGACAGGGTAGAAAAAAATCAATCAATCAGAAAACCAAAAGACAAAAACACTTAAAAAAAAGAGGAAGAAGGCTTAAGAGAACTGTGGGAAAACCGGAAATGTAATAACATTCACATCAAAGGAGTCACCAAAGAAGAAGAAAATGGGCAAGGGCTAGAGAATATATTTGAAGAAACAGTGACAGAAAAATTTTCTATCTTGGTGAAGAAAGAAGGCATTCAAGTTCAAGAAGCACAGAGACCCCAAGTAAGAAAAACCCAAACAGGCCCATACCAAGACACATAGTAATTAAAATGCCAAAAATTAAAGACAAAGAGTGAATCCTATAGGCAGCAAGAGATAAGCAGCAGGTTACCTAAAAAGAAAATCCCATAGGCTGTCAGCCGGCTTCTCAACAGAAACACTACAGGCCAGAAGGGAGTGGCATGAAGTAATCAAGGTCATAAAAAGAAAGGATCTGAATCCAAGACTACTCTACCCAGCAAGGCTATCATTCAAAATAGAAGGTTAAAGAGCTACCCAGACCAAAAAAAAAAAAAAAAGGCTAAGGGATTATATTAACATCAAACCAGCATGGCAAGATATGCTGAAAGGACTGCTGTAATTAGTAGAAGAAATAGGAAGAAAAATAGAATCACACTAAACAGAAATGGCAATAAATAAGTATATATCAATTATTACCTTAAATGTGAATGGTTTGAATACTCTGATAAAAAAAAAAAAACACAGAGTAGCTGACTGAATAAGAAAGCATGACTCACATATATGTTGTTTACAAGAGACCCACTTCACAACAAAAGACTCACATAGGTTGAAAGTGAACGAATGGAAAAAATCTTCCAAGAAAACAGAAAGGAAAAAAAAAAGCTGGTATCTGATAAAGTAGACTTCAAAATGAAGGCCATAACTAGAGACAAAGAAAGCTACTACATAATATCGAAAAGATCTATCCAACAGGAAGATATAACCTTAGTAAACATATATGCACCCAATTTAGGATCACCAATATATATTAAAAATCTTCTGGAGGACTTCAAAGGAGAAATCAACAGCAATACAGTCATAGCAGGAAACTTCAGTACCCCACTCATATCACTGGATAGATCTTCTAGACAAAAAATTAACAAGGAAACAGAGACTCAAAATGAAGCACTACATCAAATAGGTTTAATAGATATCTACAGAAAATTGCACCCCAAAACTGAAGAAGTCACATTCTTCTCAAGTGCACATGGGATGTTCTCAAAGATAGACCAAATGTTTGGGCACAAACTAAATCTATACAAGTTCAAGAAGATTGACATTATATCAAGCATCTTCTCAGATCACAATGGCATGCAACTAGAAATCAATTACAACAAGAACATGCAAAGACATTTGAACACATGGAGGCAAAAATAGCATGTTATTGAACAATGAATGGGTTACCATGGAGATCAAGGAAAAAATTAAAAACTTCCTTGAAACCAGTGAAAATGAACACACAACACAAATTCTATGGGATGCAGCGAAAGCAGTTCTGAGAGAGAAGTTCATAACACTATAGGCCTACCTCAAGAAGTAAGAAAAATTTCTAATAGACTATTTAACCTCACAACATAAACAATTAGAAAGCAAACCGAAAGAAAACCCCAGAGCAAGTAGAAGGAAGGAAATAGTAAAGAT